AGGACTACTCCACCCACCATTTCGAGCAGCTGCGTATCCAGAACCAGCAGATCCTTGACCAGCAGCTCCAGTTCCAGCAGCAGTATGCGGCTCACCAGGCCGAGTACCAGCATAGGATGGCTGCTTATGATGAGCGCCTGGACATGATGGCGACCCAGCAGGGGGTGACACTGGCTCATATCGAGCGAGAGAAGGCTCGATCTAGGCGCATGCAGGAGGTCCAGCAGCACCTGCTCCAGCTGCTGCCGGGTGAGCAGCCAGTCTGGAGGACTCCCTGGGAGGACTCTCCACTTCCACCTCCCCAGCTGATGGTGATGATGGTGATGACGCTTTCATGGACGACATCGACCTGGATAACCTTGGCGACGAGTAGGCTGTACTCGTTGCCCCTCTGAGTGTGTTTTCATTTTAGACTTTTGTGTGTTTGCTCCATGTGTGTGGAGCTTGAACTTAGTTTGTCGTTTGTTTTTGTTTTCTTTTTCTTTTGTGGATTGTTTATTTTGTGGCCGTCTGGGCTACTGATCCCTAACGCACAGTGTGCTAGTGTGTTCTTGGTGTTCGATTCGTGCAGAACTGTCCCTCTTCCCGTTTGTTTCTCGCTGACTGGTCCACTTCCAGTCCCCCGGCAGTATTTCCATCCGGTAACATCGTTCCCCTTATCTTTCCCTCTACTCCATTGAGGGCAATGTCGTGCTTAAGTGTGGGGGGTGCTTTGTATCGGTTGGAATATATATATGTGTGCTTCGAGCCTAGTCCGTTGTCTGAATCTTACGATTTGAGGGCTCCAAGTACTGATGTTTGATCATATTGGCACTGTGTTGTGATTGGTGAATTGAATGGTTTTCGGATTGATGCATGACAACTGGATTGTGACTAGGACAACCTATGATAATGACTGAGACGTGCAGTAGAATTGTGTAGGGGTTCAGTTTTTCAACTGTTTTCTTACCAACTGTGACTTGGATTGATCACTTGTTCTTGACAGTCGTTTATGCACCTAGTTCAGGGAATCAGAATGTGAGATAGAGCATATAAGTAGCCATGTGAGATTTGAGCCTGCTCGTTTCTTTCTTGTGCGATAGATCCCTCTTCCATGATGTGTAGCATTCACGTTGTCACTAGCTAAGATGATGGGGGCATAGGATTAGCCCACGACCAAATTGACTGTCCTGATGTGTCATATCCCCTAGTCAGCCCCTTTGAGCCGTGTGCTCTCCTTTCTTTCGGTCTACAATGAAAAATCACCCTTTTGCATCTTTTAGAAGGTTCCACAGAGTGGTTTTTACATGTTTTCTGCTGTTTCTCCTAAATTTAATGTGAGGGTTGGAGGTAGTGCTTAAAAGTTGGGCATGTGTTTGAAATATGTGCAGAAGTGGTGGTTCTCTTAAGTAATGAAAAGAAAATGAAAGAAAAACAAGAAAAAAATGAAAGCAAAAAGAGAGCCACTACCAAAAATCTGAATAGTGCCCAGTAAGTAGTGTTTCTTAGCAGTCTGGCTTGTAAATGCTGACATTTATATAACCTCCTTCGCTCTTGTGCTCATGAGAATTTGAGTAATGCAGAATGGCAGAAAGGAAATACTGGTTTGTTTGACTGTGATTGTGTGGGTTTGGAAATGTGGAACCTTGTGCTATGAATACTTCCACCACCTAAAAGGCCTTTTCCCCATGTCCAAGACCCTAGCCAGTCATTTGAACCTGTGTCTAAGACCTCCGGATTGGTTAGTGGTGACACCCCATATGTGAACTCTAGCATTTAGAGGCTGTCATCATGGTGAAGAGATGTTAGGGATTGAGAGAATAAGCATGCACATTTTTCGCATCAAATTGTCCTAACCCCACTGGTCGAGAGTGAGTGATTCATTTTCATATTCTATATACTCTTGTACCCCGGTGAGGACCTAGATTGCTCGGTCTCTATTCTGATGTCTTGAGTTGGATGCATGAGGTGACTGGTTTTAGTAAGTGGTTGAGTCAAGTCTAGGTTGGTTGGTGAACAGAAGGGAGACTCTTCATTTACTCGATTTTGCTGCACTCGAATGTCCTTTGTGGTGGTTGTCCAGGTTGCTATTGAAGTTGTTCATGTGTTGATGTTTGAAAACCAGTACGATTCACGTGTTCTGTGCCTTTATGACTTGTCCCCAATGTTGGTATGATTAAAAATGTGAGCTTACCTTGTGTCTGACTTGGTTTGCTTGGGGACAAGCAAACGGTTAAGTGTGGGGGAGTTTGATAGACCGTTAATTACACATGTTTTTACCCCTATTCTTACACCGTTTGAGATGTGGATTCTCGTATTTTAGGCCGATTTCACGCTAGGTTGTTCTTGTTTGTGATATTTCAGGTCCTAGTACGTGAATGAAGGCTTGGGAGCGAGTTTGGGGTCGATTGGACGAAGAACGGACGCGTGGCGAGGCGCTGAGGAAGCCACACGGGCATTCCTGGAACCCACACGGCCGTGCAAGTCACCCTTGTGGCCGTGTGGTTTGTGCCGAGAGCAAACACGGGCAGGGTGGAATTTCCACACGGCCGTGTGACCCTGGCCGTGTGGGAAGCCTGAAGTTCGATTAATTGAGACGCAGCGTTTTGGAAGCCACATGGGCAACTGGGTAAGCCACACGGCCGTGTGGCCTGCCCGTGTGAGTCGGAAAATCTTGGTTTTTATCCAATTCCGAGCCACAAGTGAGAGAATCGACTTTTTGGAGAAAAAACAGAGCCCTAGAGAGAAAGTGCGAAGAACACATCCTAAGAGTGGTTTTGGAGCTGGGTTTCATCAAATCAAGCTTGGAGATCATCATAGGAGGATAATCATCATCCCAGAGCAGATTCTTCCCATTGTTATGAGTATGACTGCTTTGTATCCTGTTTTCCCCTCTCTCTCTATGGAGTAGAACTTTCTCTCACTTGGGTATGAAGAACCCTAGTTCCATGTGTTAGGGATTTTGATTGTAATGACTTGGGATTGTTATACTGCTTGATTATAATCGAATGATGCATGATTCATTGAATTGATTGAAGTCTGATCAGCTTTTCTTGATTTCTGCTGCAACCTGAGATAGATAGAATCTGATTAGGTTGTTAGAGCAACATCATTCGGTAGTAGTGGATTGGCTATACGAGAGTTAGTCAATCTACTGCTTTGTACTGGAATCCAATTCCAGTAGTGGAGTTCTGTGTTCATAGCCTCAGCTTTCTATCCCGGTGAAGACTAGTCGTCTGCCAGGTAGTTTGACTGAGAGCGCTTGGTCAGCTTAAGAGATTCCAGGCTACTGTCGGATCTTCCGTAGTTTAATCAACAATAGATCAACCCAGGGTAATTACAATTGAAACCTAACTAAGGAGCTAGGGGGACTCATTCCCGAGTGACTCTTCCTTGACTTCAGAAAACCGAACCATTTCCTGCTTTTTACTTTAAACAACAATCACTCGACTTAGTTGGCTAGATAATAGATAATCACGGAGTAGGCAGTAGATCTAGACCCCGGTTGATAATAGAACTTGCTACTTTACTGCATTCCCGGACTGCGATTACACTTGGTCGCAGTTTGGTGTTGTGTTTTAGCGTGTCAGACGCAGAATCTCCAACCATTCACATGTTAGATTGTATTGGTGGATTCACCTTCCTTTTTGCTTCTTAATTATGCTAAATAAATCAAGAATTAAAGTATAAAAAAGAAAGAAAACTCACTAATAGAAAACTAATATGTGGCTGATTGAAGCCTGTTCGTCCAACCAAGGTTGGAGCTAAGAATTTTCCTAATCAATTCACTGTTTTTCCTTCAGTAAAATCGCTGCCATTATAAAAGATCTTATAATTAATTCAAGCCTCACAATGTGGGCGTAAATTAGTTTGCGCGTAAATTAGCTTGCAACTATTCAAATTTGATTGACATGTATTATGAATCTATTCATTTGATAACTTTTTCATTTTGTTGTCATTAAGATACTATTTAAGGGATTCAAATCAGGGACCCCCAGGTTCTAGGATAGTGATATTATCACTAGGCCAAGCTCTTGTTCGTAATTCATTTGATAACTTAATGGTTAATTAGACATGACTAAAAAAAAAAAAGTGTGACGTGCACTTGATTTAAAGGTATATATGTAGCACCCTAGTGTAAAATTATACTATAATTATCAAATTTAGTAATGGTCAAAATTTATATAGTGTGAAGATATTAAGTAGAATTACAAATAATTACTTGTGCATGCTCATTCATAAACTGTTCTTACAATAATCATTAGATAAATTTCGTAACTTGCATCAAACAAGTTCCATAAATACATAAAAATTACATGCAAAATATATATTATTTTCCGTAAATTCACACATTTTCTTGTTGTTATCATATAATTGAAGATTGATATCATTTTAAATTCTTACACGAATTAGATGACCAAAATGAAAATTATAAAGTTAGTTACATGTTATACCATAGATGTGCCTTAAAAAGATTTTGAAAATTGTAGCTACTAACTTCTAATCATATTTATATTTTTTTTATCAAACTTCTAATAATTTTTTTCTGAATTAGAATAACTTAAGCTAAAGTAGAAGCAAATGGAGCAGAAATTCAGAATAGAATATCGGTCGAGTTAAACAAGGAGATTGGATCCAAGTAGAAATCATGAATCGAACCCTCAGTTCCTCATCCACCTACAAAAATCCCCATACTTTTGGATAATACCCAAAAGACACCAATATTGAAAAGGAAAACCGAACCCTTCAGTTTCCCCTGTATCCAAGCACAGCAAAATGCCATAATTTGTTAACTGCTTAGTAGGAAAAAAGAAGAAGAAAGTGGCCGCCATGTAAACACCACCCATCTCCAGAAAGATCCTCATGAGAATCCATGGCGGCAATAATTTTTCTCCTACTTAGTAGCCTTCACGTCCACCACACCAACCCATTAAACATCTCTTGTGTATAAATACACCACAAAATCAGGCTCTCATCTCATCAAACCCAAAACACATTTCCAATCTTCTGCAGAACTAAAAATGGAGGACAACAACAGAATTCTCATCACCATCTGCTCATTCCTTCTGCTCTTCATCCTTCCATCAATGGCTGCCGAACCACAATACCACCGCGCCCCTGCAACCCCGCAGAAGAAGTCCGACGTCGTGGTCGAAGGAGTCGTCTACTGCCAGAGCTGCAAGTATGCCGGCTCATGGTCTCTGACAGGAGCCAAGCCTATCCCATCAGCTAGAGTTAGCGTCACTTGCAAGGATTCCCGCCACCATGTGACCTTTTATAAGACCTATCAGGCTGACAAACACGGATACTTCTACGCACAGCTCGACGGGTTCAAGTTGAGCCATGGGATTTTGGATCATCCACTCCAAGCCTGCACTGTGAAGCTTGTCTCCTCTCCACTCGCGACCTGCAATGTGAGCACCAATCTTAACTATGGCATAGATGGAGCGAAGCTTCGGTCTGAGGGTAAGGTGTTGAGGTCTCCTCACTACGAGGCTGTGATCTATGCAGCTGGTCCCTTGGCGTTCCGCCCTGAAACGTGCTCAAACCATCATGGTTAAAAATTGATGTGAGTTTTCAAGGGCCCCGCCTTAGCATTGTCTTTCTGGTTTTTATTCTTGTTGGAGCATAAGATCTTCCTTGTGTTGAGTTCTCGATGTTGATCGATAATTTATCAGCAATTTGTACCCGCATTCGAATGAGTTGAATCTTTTTAGCAGAGTGTTTAGTCTCTCGTCTTTCTGACCTCCTTACATTATTCCCTATAACCCATTAATAGCCGGCAAAGACAATAGGATCAGTGGCATCCCAAACAGGCAAACAGCAGAGTGTTAATCTTCATAAACTTGAGACTTCAAGGCTTCTACAAGAAGCAGTAGTAGAAAGGGCAAATGTTACCATCTCGAGAAAATGAAATTAGTTTCAACAAGGAGAAGAGCCAGTTTCCCTGCTAAGGGCTAAAAGTCCAGTGGCATCCCAAATAACTTGTTAATGTCATCCATTGCCTGTTTAGTGCATACAGTCGGCTCAAACAGGTCTGATCCCCTTGTATCAGATGCTGCTGGTTTTTTGCTCTGTTGAGGATGATTAGCATCGACATCATCCGGCAATATCGAGAACCCGCCAACTTCTTCTTGCCTCTTCTTGCCTTTATGGTTTTGTTTATGATCAGCAACATCATCATCATCATCAGGCAGAATAAAGAACCCACCACCAAGTTGTTCTTCTTGTTTCTTCATTGGCTGGTTTTGTCTTCCATCAGATTCATCATCATCAGGCAGTATAAAAAACCCACCACCACCAAGTTGTTGTTCTTCTTCTTCTTCTTCTTCTTCATGTGGTTGCTGCGCTGGCTGCCTTGTTCTCCTGGCCCTTACAAAGTCTATGGGCTTCCCAAACATGTTGTTGATGTCTTCCATGGCTTCCTTCAAGTTCACTGTGGGATCAACCAACCCATGGTGACAAACATTCTCCACTTCCGGTTCATTCAAAATGGTGGACCCAACAAACCGACGGACCACTGTATCCTCCCTCATAAGTTTGTTTCTTGGGGATCTCGAGCACCCATCTTCAGATGCTGAAAGATCCTGCGGACATGTGAACACGAAAGGGGAGTCTTCTTCTTCCTCGTCTTCTTCTTCGCAGCATTCAGCCACTTGTTGCTCTTCATCGTCAATCAATATATGAAGAGGCTCTTTCTTTTCTGGTTTGCTCAATAGCTTGGTTCCACCAACGGCCTCGTTTGAATCCACATAGACTTCAAACCCACCATTCCGGCTGCTGTTTCCATTTGATCCATGGCGGTTAGAATCCTCCAAAGGCTTCTTCACATTTCCAGATCTTCCATCTGGAATCTGTTTCGCTTCAGCTTTAGTGGTGCATACATTCTCATTGTTCTCATCAGTCCTCACAGCAGCTGACATAGGTCTTTTATCAGCTCTTAAGGTGTTCTGCAGCAGATCTCCCATTGCGAGTTAGAAACAACCATGGACAGCAAAACAAGCTACATATAGAGAATAAAATGGAGAAAAACTACAGGGCTACCTGGGATTTCTTGGTCTTGTGTCTTTGCATACGATGGAGGAACTGTTCATACGATCTTTGCAACTCGTTCACAGGCTCAGCAAGGCTGGTTTTAACATCACCATTTCCCCAAACCCTAATTAGAGCCATGTGATTATATGATTAAAAAGGTTAAAGAGAAGAGGGAAGGAGGGACTTACTTCTGCACACCCAAATGGTACATCTTCTCCGCCTCCTCATATTTCTTCATCTTTTCATAGCACAAAGCATATGCCTGGTAAAACAATGACCTCTTCATCCCAATCTGATTCTTCTCCATGGTTCTCAATAGCAATCTTGGCTCATCCACATAATCCATCTTCTCTCAATTCCACAAAAAAAAAAAAAAAAAAAAGATTCACCGCCAAAACTAAATCAAATGGCCATATTGTAATGGTAACTTCAGTAGAAGAGTGAATAAGAACTAAAAATCGAACTAGTCACAGAAATCAGCTAGCTTGGCCTTCTCCATTGAAGAAGCAAGAAGGAATGAGAGAGGGAGGAGTTGCGTTACCAGCTGCAACCAAACGCGAAGATAACGAGGATCGTTCTGGTAGCGCTTATCGGACTCGAATTTCTGAGCGCATTTCTGCAAGAAGCGAGGAAGCTTCGCTTTAAGCAGAGTTGGAGGCAGAGATTCCCTCAGTTTCTTGACTCCCCTGCAAACATGGAGAGAGAGAATGTTGGCGAGGCAGATAGGGATTGGGAAGTGAAGAGGAAGTGGAGGGAAGAGTACCGGAGCCAGGGGAGAAGAGGATCATTGCCGGAGTAGGATTTGATGTCCGAGGCGACGGTTGAGAAGATAGCATCGGCAGTGGCGGCCATTGTTCCACAGCGACGGTGAAGTGATGGTCGAAGGTATCCGGCGATGGAAATGGAGCCGGAGGGAGGGACATCGATTTTGAATTTGGGAATTTGGCACCTTTTTTGTTTTAATTGGAAAATGGAAAATGAATTGGGCCGTTGGTGAGATCTGGACCTGAGCTCTGGCTAAATATTCACTATTGGGCCAATTAGGGATTTCGTTCCACAGAGCTAAGGCCTGAGCTCTGGCTAGATATACGGTTCGATTCTTTTTGGCTAAATACAATATATTACCCATAACTATTAACCAACGGGGAATTATAATCACAAATATCGAAATATAAATTATTAGCCATAACTATTGTTGCAGGTCAAGATTTGGCTAATAACTCGTTACTGTTTTCAAATTTTTAACAGAGAAGGTTATGTCAGCATCATAAAAAAAATATGATATGATGACTGCCACGTGGGAGCTAGCTCAATATCGTAAAAATTTAGTCAGCATTAATAATGAAAGTGTTAATGGAAACTTAATAGTTGGCTAATAATTTGTATTTCAATAGTTGTGGCTATAATTCCCCGCTACTTAATAGTTATGGCTAATATATCGTATTTACCCATGGTACTGAAATACACGGTTTTTTTAAAGATTATTTTTTAGCTCCGACTTTTCCGAAGTGAAACCCAGCATTCCTGAACCCTAGCGGCTACGCGCCTACGCCGCCGATGAGCGAAGCTCTGACGGGGGCCTCTCCCCTAGCACCCCAACCGCCGGACCCTTCAGTTGGACAGCGCCAACCACCGTCAGCATTTCTCTTCACCAAACGGCAAGGGAGATCGTGAGACGCAGCACAAAAAAAAAAAAGACTCGGCCAATGTGTGCAAACCCACTTTTCAACGCGGATGAGACACCGGAGGACTCCGCGATGGCGCAGACCGAGACTACAGCGGAGGAGACTGCTCAGGTAGCCACGCACTCGCAGACGGAGATCCCTTCCCCGGCATGGGGAACAGGGGCAGGTGCCAAGAAGCTATTCTCTGACATTCTTGGAGAAGAGGCATGGTATATCGCGGAATCGGACTCAGAGGATTTTGTTGCAGCCATGAAAGAAGACGATCTTGACGATGAGGTGCCGGAAGACGATGATCCCCGGTGTCCCATGATTCCGTTCACGTCTATGGAGAAGCAGCGATATCGTCGTAAATGGCATTCCGTGCTTATTGATAAGGTACTGAGACGTACCTTCCCCTTCCCTGTGATCTCTAGGAGGCTGGAAAAATTATGGGCAAAGGACGGGTATCTTCACATTTCCAGTCTCTCTTACGGGTACTACGTGGTGAGATTCACCCATCAGATGGACTTTGAGCAAGCAAGGGTAGGAGGACCATAGCTGATCGGCGAACAATACATTTTTGTGCACCCCTGGCTAAAGAACTTTAACCTGCACAGTGTTGAGGTTGTTTCAACACTAGTTTGGGCGAGGCTTCCAAAGCTACCCGTAGAGTTTGTGAACCGCGCGACAGTCGAACGCATTGCCTCACGGATTGGGAAGCCGGTGAAAGTGGATAGAGCGACTATGACAGGTGACAGGGTAAAATTCAGGAGAGTGTGCATGGATATTGATCTCACCAAGCCGATGCTCTCTCAATATAAAATCGAAGGTAAAACCTACTACATCATGTTTGAAGGGTTGCATAACATATGCACAGAATGCGGAAAATATGGGGATTAGGTTAAATCATGCCCGCTACTACGGAAAGAGAACCCAACACCACCACCTCATGCGACCGTTCCTACCGAGACCAAAGGAAACACAACTCTATACGACGAATGGATGATGGTGAAATCTAGGAACGAGAAGAAAAAGGGTCTAAAGACCCAAGGGGCACAACCCGACACAACAGTTGTTGGGGATAACTCAAAAGTGGATGGGTCTCGTTTCTTGGTGCTTGAGCATGAGGAATCTCCCATTGTCATGGAGACTGATGTTTCTACTAGAGAGAATGATCTGGCCAATGAAAGTATAAAGGCCAAGGAATATACAGAATGAATTTTGACGTCAGCGGCCCGACACGCTCACAAAGTGGATAAAAGTGTATCGCTTGTTGCCCGAACGGAGACTAAGCTGATAGGTTCGATGAAGGATGCTAATGGGGTGATCACCCCTCCCCTGGCGGTCAGAGAACCTGCCTCTCAAGTCAATGCTTCAAAGCAGCACCCAAAACAGCTGCAACTCACGAGTATGACAAAACCACAAGGATCTAGTAGCGCTCGAAAAGAGCTGGTCGATGTCCCGATAGCACAAGCTGACGGGAAAGGAGGTCTTGAATCTAAAACTGAGAATGCCATAATTAAGCAAGCCAAGGACCCAGGGAAGAGAGGTCATATGACTGGGAAGCCGGGAAGCAATGCCACCACCCAACCAAAAGGGGTGAAAAAAGGGAAGTTTTTTTCCGTCGTCTCTTTTTTGAGCGTTTGTGATTTGGGTGTGGTGTATTTTATTTATCTTTATAATGTTAAACGTTTTAGCTTGGAACTCTCAGGGGACAGGAGATGAGAGCTTCCTAACATATCTGCGTGCTTTCAGTGAGGCCACAAAGCCAGACATTATAATTATTGTTGAAACGCGAATCAGCGGGGAGACAGCTCGCGCAGTGATTCGACGGACGAGCTATGACGGGTGTCTTATCAGGG